TGATTTTTTAAAATAGTAAAAGTCAAAGTATTGAACCCTGACAAATTCTAGCCGTGAAGTCAATCCAATAAGATGGACTGTTAAGTTACTTTGTTTTCTGATTGTTAATTTAACTTCTAAACCATTACAGAAATGTTCCCTTTATCTATTATGCTTAAACAAATCGTGTGCCAGCGCAAAAATGCTCGAAGTATCTCTTTGGATGCAAGGGGGCGTGCATGCCACCTTTCCTGCCGAGCACATTTAAATCCAAAAGATAGGTGGTGCTATTTGGGGGATATATGAGCGATGCCGAGCAAACTTTTAATGTCAAGAATTTTGGCCCTACCACCTTACAATTATGCCGAATGAATACTTGTATATTATTTTTTTGGCGTAGTGGGTTGGTTTTATTTTGTTTAACGTCCTATTAACAGCTAAGGTTATTTAAGGATGTCCCTTCATGTGTTGTGTAAGCGCGCATGTGTGTATGTGTGCCGGATATAGGGTATGTTGGTGTACTTGCCTCCTTGTGATAGCGCGGATCTGATGCCGACTTTCCTTCCCCCGCCCCTAAAAATTTAAAACCATCGATCTTAGAAATAGACATGATCGTGAATAAACATAAAACAGGTAGCTGTTCCGAAAAAATATTATGACATAAATTAATAAACATTCAAATATCGTCAGGTGGAAATATAGAAGTCACATCACATTCGAGACAAACGTACAATTAATTCAACGCATTGAATGCTTCCATAGCACAGTGAGGAAGGCAATGCAGGGAAAACATACTAGAACAATAACGTGCAATTTGAATTACCCGGCGCCTTCTCAACTCGAGACATATTGTTTATCGCATACCCATTCCGTTAAGGGAGGAAAGAGAACGAAATATAAAGGAATGAAGATTGATCCTGTCATTAGTGGTCAAAGCTTCTAAAGTTTGGTTTTTAGTAGCCAGCGGTCATGGTCGACCATTGTTGAAGAAGCCTGGAATGGACAAGGAGGAGTTGAAGAACTACCGCCCAGTATCAAATCTGTCTTTTCTGTCTAAGATCTTTGAAAATGTTATGTCCCGGCGTTTAGAGGTTCATATCCATGCAAACAGTCTTCATGACAACCTGTAATCGGCCTACCGCATGGAACACTCTACTGGGATGGCCCTCCTACCTGTACATACTGACATAGCTTCTGCATTGGATAACAGGTGCAGAGTGGTGATTGTCATGCTGAACTTGTCAGCTGCATTTGACGTCATCGACCAAGGCATACTTTATAAACGTCTGGAGTACTCTTATGGAGTGACTGATACCGTACTATGCTGATACAGTCTTATCTGAGTGAACAATGACAGTGTGCTGCCATCGGATCTACCACCTCACATGGTAAAGTACCAGATTTCGGGGTTCCTCCAGGGTCGGTGTTAGGACCACAAAATATTACCTGTACTGCAAACCGATCGGAGAGATCTGTGGTCGCCATAGCCTTCGCTATCATTGCTATGCTGATGGCACACAAATGCACATGGTCATCAAACCACAGGACAGTTGGGATACAATTTCAGAAAATCTGAAAGCTTGTCTGACAAATAAACAGATAAATTAATAATGAATAAATAAAGCTTAATCAGGAAAAGACGGAACTAATCATCTTTTCCTCAATGTGTCAGCAAACAATGGCTCTCCAGCTCAAGGTCGGTGCCAGAACTATAGAGACTCTCCCAGATGTTAAAAACCTAGGTGTATACTTTGATAGAACGCTATTGCCAAATCCTGTTACTATCAGATCATGAACATCGACTGTATCCGGCAGTTTATAACTTCAGATGCATGCAATATTTTGGTGCATTCACTTGTTACCTCTCGGTTGGATTATGGTAACGCCCTGCTCTGTGGTATATCTGAAAAGCTAACTAGTCATCTGTAGAGGGCCCAGAACACTGCAGCACGGCTGGTTTCTCGTACTCGAAAGAGAGAGAGAGAGAGCACATCACACCTGTGCTATATTCATTGCACTCGTTACCTGTACGGTACAGGTCGCAGTACAAAATACAAGGCACTGAATGGAACAACTGCCCAGGAGCTTGTTACTCTGCATCAGCCGTCACGATCACTGCGGTCGGAGTCTGAATCATTGTTGTGTTTCCCAAAATCTTGTACTGTGACCTATGGAAACCGGTCCTTTGGGAGGGTTTTGGCCACGTTGTGGAATAGCTCACCATCTGCTATAAGAAAGTCAAATACCCTTGCCAAATTCAAGAGGGACATCAAAACTCACCTTTTTACATCTGCATTTCATTCTCTTTGCAAAGACGTCATGTAAATACCACCTTTTTTTTATTCATTTATGTGCACATTGCGATGATTATCTGCTTGCTTAATGTATAAAAGTGACTGTAAGTATTTGTTTTTGTTTCACAATTATAGCTAATACTATTATCCATATGTTGTAAAGCGCTTTAGAGTAATTTTAGTAATAGGGCGCTACATAAATGTTGTATATTATCATTATTATCATTATGGTAAAAGAGCTAATAGGTATAAGGAATTATGACCATCATGTGCGAATATTATATAAAAACGATATTCCTTCAAAACAGGCGGATTTCCCCCTTAAAGTAAGTGTTGATCACTAGTTTGGTTGTATTCTCAGCTAGGTTCTGAGATGTCACACTGTGGCGATTTTAAGTAAACGATTATTGTTCTTCAATTGTTCATTTCAGGATATATAGGGGACTACTAGACTCTAATCGAGTGTGTTCTGTCCTCATGTCTCAATCAGCCATGGCTACTCATGTAATGGTGTATTGAGAACAAGCTTGACAGATATGTGATTTTTCCGAGAGTCGGGGAGGGCGGAAAACGCACAGGCGTTTTCAACAATATATTATAACCAATGAACGTTTGTTGTGAAATAAGAGTTCGGAGAAAGAATGCGATACGACATGATATCAACAAAGGAATTTGAAGAACATGTATGTAAACTATTTGTATGTACGCGGGGACCCACTTATGAAAGGACAGGTTCGCGTCAATAGGACATTACAAATGACACGTAAAGGGAGATTGTATTACAATGATACAACGAGCGTACAAATGATAGAAATGGTGAAATTAAAGTACGCATTGATTGCAGCGTTCAATAATTGATACAAAAGTTCGTTCAAATACAGACGATGACGGGGCGCAAAAGTGTCGACACTACATAAAATGTGGCGCACTCCAAGAGCTGTGTAGAGAGGGTGCAAACACCTCCAGTAGTGAAGAATCTAACTCAGGCATTCTAACGTTGTTTGAACGTTTTTGATGACCTTACTCATTGGTATTTATAATTTACGTGCTTATTGGTGTTGTGCCATTACGTCATTTTCAACAGGTTGGATCTAATCTGATTTTATGTTTTTTCTCTCTATTTACTTGGGGGGGGGNTGCGAGAAAACTGTCCTGATCTTTCGTGGAGATGAAATTCATTTTTTTTTTAATTCATTTTAGATTTTAAAATTTGCTGTAAGCCGTAATATACCGCTGATTAAGACGCCCTCTCTCTCGTTTTAGAACGGATTTTTTCTGTGTTTAATTCGCCTTCAGTTGTTTACCAGTACTATAATGGTGATATCCATCGTACACTCGGGGTTCTTTCCAGTGTAAAACACCATCACAAATAGAGGCATAATGGATGACTTTAATTAACTTTATTTGTTTAACTCAAATTCTTCATTAATTTTCAAAAAGAAAGCGAGCTTTATGCAGATTTTCTATTTTAATTTGAAATTAACTAAATAGAGTTAACAATGGCATTAAGTGTAAAACTTACTTCTACAATTTATAACATTTTCAGGAGTTAAAATATGAAGGCAGGTCGCGCAGGATTTGTTTGAACCGATACGCTTGCTAATTTACATACAGTGTATTACATTATAAAAGCGATATCATCTTTTCTAAATTGATATTATCCATTACAACCAGTATTATGGTATGGTTCGAGTTGGTTTTATTTTGATTGCTTGTAAAAGTAATCACTTGAAAAAATAATCTTTCAAACGTACTCAATGTGTTAATTAAGTGGTTAAAACTCACTTTATAAGCTAAAGGTATCCCACACCCATGTTCAACTTGTCCTTTTGGTCAAAGACGAAGATATGAAGATATACCCCCCCCCCTGTGGTAGTCGTCTATAGAACTACTGAATCTTGCTTTTCTACAATGTTATAACCTTAAAAATTGAAAGAAAGTTCGCTACAATTCTTGTAAGAACGACCAATAATAATACCCGAAATCACGATACAATACTCGAAAACACGATATTAACCCTGTAAGCAGAATACAATACTTAACGCTGTACAATACTCGTAAACACGATAGAATACCCGTTAACCTGATACAACACTCGTTAACACAATACAATACTCGTAAACACGATAGAATACCCGTTAACATGATACAACACTCGTTAACACAATACAATACTCGTAAACAAGATACAAACCCGATAAGATACCTGTATACAAGGTACAATACTCGTAAACACGATAGAATACTCGTAAACATGATACAATACTCGTAAACACGATACAATACTCGTTAACACGATACAATACTCGTAAACACGATACAATACTCGTAAACACGATACAATACTCGTAAACTAGATACAATACTCGTAAACATGATACAATACTCGTAAACACGATACAATACTCGTAAACAAGATACAATACTCGTAAACATGATACAATACTCGTAAACACGATACAATACTCGTAACAATCAATGAAGTTTCATGAAGCTGAGGACTGTTGATAGGCTGGGCTTTGATCCCAGCTATAACGGATCGATACCTACTACTTCACGTGTTAAATTATATGACGATATTTATAGTGATACTTGCTGGCATCGAGTTACCTGATGCGTGTCTTGTTGTGAAAATCAACACATCAGTTTCCGTGTTTTGCAGTGTACAGTTTCGGTTTCTTCAGATTTTTTTTTTTATCTTTTGTTTTAATACGAAACACTTTTAAAATGACTTACGAAAATGGATATGATCTACCCGTGTTTGGTCTTGACAATGGCTCGTTTTATGCGCTTCATATATTGGCGATAACATGCATTTTTCTGAGTTTGTGTTCTGCCCTGTTCATTATAATAGCTTCCGTAAAACAACATGGATTGCGGACATTCTTCACCTGGTCAAAAAGCGAGAGGGTTGTCGTCTATCTTGCTATGTGCGATGCCTGTTTCAACATCTGCCATTCGCTTGACCATCTTCACATCATTCTGACTCAAGACCACGTCAAACCAGCCTCTCTCTGCAAGTTTTACAGTGTCAACATTGTCGAGTTCGTGTTCGCTCAAACTTTGATGGTCAATGCTGTAGCCATCAACGTGTTTGTACTGATATATTTTGGAAAGAACATTGACTTTGGAAAGCGTGATTGGCGTTTGTTGCTATGGACGTTTGGAACTCCCTTCCTGATCGCCATGGTACTCTTATTGACGGGACAACTTGGACCATCAGGGGCATAGTAAGTAAGGTTATTGTTGTACCGGTAAAACAGACATTGTGATTTACTCATAATCTCGACTAAAATTACATCCTTAACGCATCGTCTCAATCTCTCTTTTAAATTTCGTTACAATTATTAAATTAAAGTATCGTTTTTGCATTTACTATTTCACTTCGATGTTCATTGCATAACATTTTAACAACATTTATGACATTTTTAATTTCAAAGACTGATTTGACGAATTATTATGTTTGGTATTATGAAACCCTGAATTTGCATATCTTTAAAATTAACAAAGCTGTCCAATTGATGCTTATATGATGCAAGTGTGGCGAGAAAAGCAGAACCATGTGAAACACTGCTATGATTGTTTTACCGATGTTAATATTCATTGAGAAATGCTTAACACTCAGGTCATGCGTCATGTATATGGCGGTGGGGTGCTTTTATTCCTTTATTGTTCAAGCGCCTTGAATATGGTATGTCTACAGTATGACGCATGTCCCTGAATCCCTGAATCCAGTCTAGGTTGGCTGATTGATGTTACAAGTAAACTGGGCGTTAACATGCTGCAAATTTATATTTGCAACGATAAAACCACAATCATACATCCGCAAATTTGTAAACGCAGGTATTCTTTAATTTTATTCAATTTGATATAATATGAAATCCAAGAAAATTGATGAAACAATGAGTAGTTCTTTTGCAAAAATGAAAGAAAAAGCTCTACGATAATTTGTAAATATAGTTGGTTTAAACATAATGCACTTAGCGTTTTAAATACAGACAACACAATGAACAGGTCACACCGCATATGGATATATAGCTTAGCCTCAAGGATGGTTTGAGTTGATCATTGGTTTATTTCTAAACACTTTCAGTCAATTGAACAACCAATTGCGCTTTAACAAATAGATCTTAAAGTTGCTACATTACAACATAACATCTTATGGTATAGAAAACAAAAACACATGAAATTTCAGCCGATAGATGGAATAATAGCAGATTAACGATCTGCCGTTGTATAGTGTAAGCTGAATGTAGACTGAGAACACCATGAGCAACTCAGCGAGAGCAACATTGATCTACATACTTGTAGAAAACAAAAATAAGATATGTTTTGAATTCGTTATCTTCATTTGTCAATATTTAGCTCAGTACGGCTGAATTTACTCCAGTATATTTCTGCATTTTAATAAGTAGTAAGAGATGTTTCAAGGTTTCAAATATGTACCTTTTTATGAAATCAACCTTGTCCGTCTGTTTGTTTTTCTTTTTTTCCCCTTTCAAATTTAATGGGCATGTTTGTTTTAATGTTTTTACATATTTTAAATGTAGTGCTCTTAACTATTAAAAAGAGAGACATATCGACATATATATGTATTTTTTAATTACTTTGTCGGATATACCTGAAAGAATATCTTCTTGATTGTACTGATACATGGAATGCTAAGCCATGTAACTGTGCTAGTTTACGAACATTTGGAATACTGATATATCAGGAAGTAGTGTATATGATATCAATGTATGAATTATTGAATTAGAAATGAAGTAGTGTATATGATATCGATGTATGAATTATTGAATTACCAATGAAGTAGTGTATATGATATCATTGTATGAATTATTGAATTACCAATGAAGTAGTGTGTATGATATCAATGTATGAATTATTGAATTACAAATGAGGTAGTGTATATGATATCAATGTATGAATTATCGAATTACCAATGAAGTAGTGTGTATGATATCAATGTATGAATTATTGAATTACCAATGAAGTAGTGTATATGATATCAATGTATGAACTATTGAATTACCACTGAAGTAGTGTATATGATATCAATGTATGAATTATTGAATTACCAATGAAGTAGTGTATATGATATCAATGTATGAATTATTGAATTACCAATGAAGTAGTGTATATGATATCAATGTATGAATTATTGAATTACCAATGAAGTAGTGTATATGATATCAATGTATGAATTATTGAATTACCAATGAAGTAGTGTATATGATATCAATGTATGAATTATTGAATTACCAATGAAGTAGTGTATATGATATCAATGTATGAATTATTGAATTACCAATGAAGTAGTGTATATGATATCAATGTATGAATTATTGAATTACCAATGAAGTAGTGTATATGATATCAATGTATGAATTATTGAATTACCAATGAAGTAGTGTATATGATATCAATGTATGAATTATTGAATTACCAATGAAGTAGTGTATATGATATCAATGTATGAATTATTGAATTACCAATGAAGTAGTGTATATGATATCAATGTATGAATTATTGAATTACCAATGAAGTAGTGTATATGATATCAATGTATGAATTATTGAATTACCAATGAAGTAGTGTATATGATATCAATGTATGAATTATTGAATTACCAATGAAGTAGTGTATATGATATCAATGTATGAATTATTGAATTACCAATGAAGTAGTGTATATGATATCAATGTATGAATTATTGAATTACCAATGAAGGAGTGTATATGATATCAATGTATGAATTATTGAATTACAAATGAAGGAGTGTATATGATATCAATGTATGAATTATTGAATTGCCAATGAAGTAGTGTATATGATATCAATGTATGAATTATTGAATTACAAAGGAGTAGAGTATATGATATCAATGTATGAATTATTGAATTGCCAATGAAGTAGTGTATATGATATCAATGTATGAATTATTGAATTACAAATGAAGGAGTGTCAGGTGTTGGAGAGATAATCTCCGACCAGTGAATTAGGGTACTTAAAAAAACCTGTATATGTAATGTCTTCTCTCCGATGCGTTGTAAAACACAAGGAAATAAAGAATCTGAATCTGAATTTACCTATCCATTCGTCGAGCAGGTAGACACACCCGCGTGTGTGTGATTGCAGTATGGCAGACTATGTCAAAACGCCAAGTACGAAACACATGCAGCTCTTTTAGTTTATTTCCTTTCTTAATACTGATGGCTACATGATTTCATTGTTCATCTATTTTTATAACTTATTAAAAGTTGTCATCTTTATTAAACTTTTATTCTTCTCTCATCTACTATCCGCGATAATTGCAGTGCTCGTACTATCTGTCGTCCAACCTGAACAAACATTGACGATGTCGGTCGAACCTTGGATTCGTCAAATACCATGTATTCCTCGAACACCATGCATTCCCCGAACTATTGATCTGGACCCTACACGTTAGAGTTAGCGGGGTTTTACTGTATACAATTTTTCACGGTTTAAATTCATAATAGTATATTATGCGTTAAAATTTATGGTATTACTTAATTTGTTATTTTAAATGTTGATACTATATAGTAATATAGTACAGTTCCAAAACAATGGTGTCGAATGTAACGTAAAGCAGCCTCCTACACTTTTGTGTACTAGGCTATAGTGTGGAATGTCACGTAAAGTAGCCTGCTACAACTTTGTTTACTAGGCTCTGGTGTGGAATGTCACGTAAAGTAGCCTGCTACAACTTTGTTTACTAGGCTCTGGTGTGGAATGTCACGTAAAGTAGCCTGCTACAACTTTGTTTACTAGGCTCTGGTGTGGAATGTCACGTAAAGTAGCCTGCTACAACTTTGTTTACTAGGCTATGATGTGGAATGTCACGTAAAGTAGCCTGCTACAACTTTGTTTACTAGGCTCTGGTGTGGAATGTCACGTAAAGTAGCCTGCTACAACTTTGTTTACTAGGCTATGATGTGGAATGTCACGTAAAGTAGCCTGCTACAACTTTGTTTACTAGGCTCTGGTGTGGAATGTCACGTAAAGTAGCCTGCTACAACTTTGTTTACTAGGCTATGATGTGGAATGTCACGTAAAGTAGCCTGCTACAACTTTGTTTACTAGGCTCTGGTGTGGAATGTCACGTAAAGTAGCCTGCTACAACTTTGTTTACTAGGCTATGATGTGGAATGTCACGTAAAGTAGCCTGCTACAACTTTGTTTACTAGGCTCTGGTGTGGAATGTCACGTAAAGTAGCCTGCTACAACTTTGTTTACTAGGCTATGATGTGGAATGTCACGTAAAGTAGCCTGCTACAACTTTGTTTACTAGGCTCTGGTGTGGAATGTCACGTAAAGTAGCCTGCTACAACTTTGTTTACTAGGCTATGATGTGGAATGTCACGTAAAGTAGCCTGCTACAACTTTGTTTACTAGGCTCTGGTGTGGAATGTCACGTAAAGTAGCCTGCTACAACTTTGTTTACTAGGCTATGATGTGGAATGTCACGTAAAGTAGCCTGCTACAACTTTGTTTACTAGGCTCTGGTGTGGAATGTCACGTTAAGCAGCCTGCTACACCTTTGTGTACGAGGCTGTGTTGTCGAATGGTGTGGCAGTTATACGGAGGTAACTCAAAATTTCAAGATAATAACTCGAAATTTCAAGATAATAACTCGAAAATTCGAATTACTAACTCGACATTTCACGATAATAACTCAAAATTAATAACTGTTCAAACCAGAATCTGTTCAATCTGGACCATTGTGTAAACCGGAAAACGTATTTGGTTTTTTAATTTTATAACTTTAACTTCGAATTCATTCTGTAAACCGGCTCTGTTTCCTGGTCTAATATCTTCTTAAAATTAATAAATATACCCTCTGTGAACCGGCATCAAAACACGTTCTATTCTATGTCAATCCTTATTACCAGACAGGAAAGTTCAGAGTTGACCAGTCATTTTCAACTCTCCTGAACATCATAATACATTATTTTTATAATTATTTTTCATATCGATGGCGATAATTGAAATTGCAAACGAATATCTCTTGTGAATATTATCTATTTCTTTGTAATTTTTGTTAGTGAAAGTTGGAAATGAACAAAATTAGAGCAGAACGTGATGTAGATTAACAGAAAGTATATTAAATACTGTACATGAATAATTTTCCTGAGTTTAATCAATGATGTAAAATAATTAAAGACTAAATTTGGCCGGTTTACACAAAGACCGAATTGGGCAGAATCTG